TTTATGTGGCTTTTGCGATATTGGCAGCGCATGTGTCTATGTATGTGTAGAATGTAGCTAAATATGTTTAGACATTGCAGTTGATTGAGAAACACGTAGAAACATGGTGTGATATATACATATATGCGTATGTATATATGTGCCGTTATGATGATGACAATTGTCCTTGTGAACAACGCTTAAAAATAGTATCTTTGTTGATTTGATTTGATTGTTTTGATCAAAAGGCACAGATAACATATAAACAAAGTCACAGTCCTATTCAACTATATGCCGTAACTTCTCAATAGTCGTTTAAACTTATCCTATGTCTTGGTTGAATGGTAGAGTTTATTCGCTTGGTTATTGGGGGCGGGTCGCATTATACCAATTATTCCCTGCCACCCCCCGAGGGGAGGCAAAAAAACTAAGGCTAGGACGGTTGTGAAAGTGTGCGTGCAGCAAAGACAAGGATGAAGACATGAAAAGGAGGACGAGACGGGGCAAAGGTAGGTGTGTGTGTGTCCACACCTGTGCCTAAGGTTTTGAGTCATAAAGAACGCTACACTAGGGCCCCTGGTTTTGCTACTAAGGGCTCCTGGTATCGCTACTAACTTACAGTTTCTCAACGCAGAAAAAAAGAGGCAGGGGGCTGGAGTGTGCTTCAGATGTCTCCAGCCAACGAAGACGCATCTGTCGCAAAGTGATATAGTTCTGTGATATAGTTCTGGGACGCCAGAACTACGTACCTGCCTTTCTCAATTGTTATCAACTGTTGACAAGCTGTCTTCTTCTGTGTTTTGCAGTAAGCGGCTAGTGCACTGAAACAATTTGTTAAACATCTTCAATTTTCCGGACCTCCTCGCCTTTCGGCTTGCACTTTTCTTCCAGTCAAGGGGAACTTCGTACTGATCCTAGCTCTTGCGAGCAACAATCTAAGTGTGTTTTCGCCACAGGGTCCCACTGAGGGCTGTGGTGTGATCCCCGTCAAAGGGCGCCGCATGTGCACAGACCCAGATCCTGGGGGATACCATGCCGCAGGGCTCACTGTGATTCATGCTCCTGATCGACCCTGCTGCACGATACCACTGATCTTATGCCGCAGGGCTCACTGTGATCCCCACTTGAGATTCACATGGAAACATGCGTCTAAGTATTCACAGGCGGGGTTTAGCGCTGTGCTTTTGTTACATGTGTTTTTCATGCTCTTCGGTTCTTTCTCTCCTTTTGTTGCTGTTCGTTTCTTGAAGCCTTTCTTTAGGTTCCAGGTGTCTTTCAGAGAAGGGGTGCGCCGGCCCAAATCGGCTCTACTTGAAAGCCAATGATGGCAAGGCCTACAGGCCACCCTAACCCACCCTCCCCCCTACCTCCCCACCCCTGGGCCTCGGTTGCTATCCCACCCGCTATTCGGGCAATGGAAGGAAATCGCACTCAACACACTTGTGTGTTGGTGCCTTTCCTTCCGTTTCTCCTACTCTATTGCCAGCTACCCGGGCGGTTTAAGACAAAATGTCCCGCTCGCGTTCTACTTTCATTTAACTAAGTGGGCCTCGTAACTACACCTATCTTTCCTTCTTGCCCTCTTAGTCTGCTTTTGTTTTGTTTGCTTTTTCTGTCTTTCTAAGGCTTTTTAGGTCGCTAGTAGTCTTCACACAAAGCGCCAATATTGGCGCTATATGTACAAAGTTTTGCGACCGGCGGACACCAACGACGCTACTAGGGGCTTCTGGCCTCGCTACCAGGAGCTCGGACCTCTGACCTTTCTACAGGGTGTAAGGACGCTACTAGCGACTCTTGGCCACGCTACTAAACTGTAAGCAAGGGTCAGTGCGCCGAGTACGGCTTCGTGTGTGTGTCCACACCTGTGCCTAAGGTTTTGAGTCATAAAGAACGCTACACTAGGGCCCCTGGTTTTGCTACTAGGGCTCCTGGTATCGCTACTAACTTACAGTTTCTCAACGCAGAAAAAAAGAGGCAGGGGGCTGGAGTGTGCTTCAGATGTCTCCAGCCAACGAAGACGCATCTGTCGCAAAGTGATATAGTTCTGGGACGCCAGAACTACGTACCTGCCTTTCTCAATTGTTATCAACTGTTGACAAGCTGTCTTCTTCTGTGTTTTGCAGTAAGCGGCTAGTGCACTGAAACAATTTGTTAAACATCTTCAATTTTCCGGACCTCCTCGCCTTTCGGTTTGAACTTCGTACTGATCCTAGCTCTTGCGGGCAACAATCTAAGAGTGTGTGTGTGTGTGTGTGGTGGAAATGAAAAAGAAACCAAGTGCACAGGGACAACCGATGAACCCCACCTCATTGTCAAGACCTGGGCGACCTGAAACCTGTGTTTAATGTGTATGTAACTGTGCACGTACACACTAAGGCCAGGACCGATGTGTGCGCAAACGAAAGAAAGGACGAGGTGACAAAACGCGAAGACAGGAGGGCATGAAAGAAAAGAGGAAAACAAAAGTGTGTGAAGGGGGAAAGGATGAAAAGGGAAACCAAATGGAGGGGACGAAAGCCAATGAACCCAAACCTCATTAGAAAACCTAGGCAAACCTCGTTGAACATGTACGTGCTGTGTGTGCGCCTGAGGTGGCGACGGGTTCCAATGGAACCTGGAAATGCTTTGACCGCTATGGTCACCTTGTGCCCAGCCAAAGTGGCCGGCTGCTTAGACCGTTGCGGTCACGTAGAGGCATAAGCCAGCTTAGAATTCAATAGTTCGGCAAGTCTTGGCAAATAACTTTGGCCTAAGCCTACTTCGCCCGCTCTGGGCACGTACATCTCCGGGCAGGGAGATAAAGACTAACGCCCGTTCGACGGGTCCACAGGGGCCACTCTGGGGGGTCACCCTGTGCTCTCGCGAGGAGAGACACGCTTATTGACATGCGTACTGACTTGAAAGCCGTTGCCACACGCCGGCCTAAGTGAAAAAAACCTAAGAGTCCAGGTAAACAAAACACACCAAATGACTGCACTCACCGCCAGGTTCAAACTGCAAGCTCAAACGCAAGATCAAGTGCGTGACTGCCGATGGTGAACAGATGCGATGGCTGGTCAGCTTGTTCTAGTTAAAGCGGGGCCCAGTAGGAACTGAAAGTCAGAACTCTGCAGGTATGCAGTTGGACGTCTCCAACTGTATCACAGGTAACTGATGAGCGTCTTTGTCAGCACCGGTCTCATCAGCACCCCCGGTGCCCCCTGCTAAAAATGCAAAACATTCCAAAAGGAACCTCGTGGCTGCAGAGGAGACACACACACGCACTCTCATACACCTACCTACATAACATAACTCACACACGCGCGTATGACACCGCTGGATATGATGGATATGACCGCTATCCACGACGCTGCAACCCTGTTTTTCTCAAGCGTCATGACCATGGACAGGTGACAGAGTTGTTTTTTTTCTCGCGCAGGCTTCCAACTACCTCGCCTGCCCCGCTCATGACCACCCCTTGGCGGCGACCACCTTCTTTCTGGGGTTGGCTTCTGGCTTCTGTTTTTCGCTTCCTCCTTGCTCGAGTTTGTGCTTCGCCTTTTGTTGCTCCACCATGATCGCGAAGGCTGCTCTCAGGTGTGAGAACAGAACTGATCCAGGCTTGGGTCTCTTGCCTTGCTCAGCGTTTTGAGCAAGCTTGTAAGAGAATTTAAAACACCCCATCCAGAGGGCAGTCAAGTACCCAAGAACTTGCGAGAGCCACGAGCCCCCGGAGAAGCTTCTATCACCCCGGCCGCTCATTCGTAGAGAGCATTCACGCAGGGTCATAGCGCCTCGGTTGCCCAAGTGACAGATACTCATTGTCGACTTGCCGGCAAGGTAGCTCATCTGCCCAGTGCCCATTGGATTGGCCCCGTCTGATCCCACAGTGATCGCTGAAGAGTGCCCATCATACATCGAGCTTCAAGCCTCTTGTGTTGCAGCTAGCGTGCGCGTGCCGCCCCAGAAGCGGTGCAAAAGTCCTGCGTTCGGTTTCTAATCTCAATTTCTGCTGAGATTTCAAGGTGAGGGGCATGGGCATACTGTTTGCTGCCCAGTGGAGTTGGTCTGCGACCATCCAGGTCCATGATGATCAGTTTGCAATGGCCCGAGGACATGGGCCAGGGGCGCCTTAGCGAAAGAGCAGCTGGAGGTAGTGGCTGACAGAGCAGAGTCGTCTGCGCTGGCTCAGGCTACTGTCGTGGAGGCTGCAAGGGTCTCCAGGCCTTCAGATTGGGAGGATGCCTGGTGGGAAGGTTTGCTTGCAGGCATAGACTTGCACCTTCCATCAGACGTCCCCTGGAACAAGTTTGGGACAGGAGTAGACAATATCCAGCTTCAGGGTGACTTATACAGAGGCGTTGCAGCTTTGGAGCTGGGGTCCTCGCGGCCTCGTTTTGAGACGTGGTCATTGGATACCGCGTGATGAGCATTTACAGCCAGGAGATCACTGCCGCTGAAGGTTCAAGACAGAAGTTCTTTTGCTTCCAAGCCCATCCTTGAATGCAATCGCTTGAAAGAGTTGGGCATGAGGAAGAGTTGGGCGCTGTGCCTACTGTTTCGAGCTGACCATAATCTGAATGAACTGTGCGTGCAACTGCAAAAGCAGAAGGAAAAAACTGCAAACAGTGTGGAGACTGAGTCATAACTTTTGTAAACATGTTCATATATTTATGTGTTTATATTTCATCAAACAGAACTTGTACTAGCGTAATGCAATGTAACATATAGTGATGTAACACAATACAATACAAACTCATGAAATGTAATACAAAACTTACAAAACAGCGTAATATGCTTTATGTAATTCAGTAGAATACACAAGACACATTACATCATAAAACATACAACATTGATCCTGGAAGCGACTGAAGTCCAAAGAGAGAGAAAGATATATATATATATACACATGTATAGATGCTTTATTGCTCACACTTTCAAGACAAAGGGACTGAGTGGGGTTGACACTTCAACTTTGTATGTAGGGTTGTTGGTATAGGTACCTCTGGAGAAACCCCATGATCCACACTGTGTTGTTGCAGGATGTTTCTTTGGAGAATATGTGACTTGGATGGGCACGAAGAACAGCAGGCTTTTCTGTCAGTTTGTGGGGTAACACAGTTGTTCGACCTTCCCCCGCCGTACCCGCTGTAAACTGTGAATATGTAGAGGTGACACCCTTGCTGCAAGCATTAGAACTGGAGATCCCTTGCCTTATTAATCGCATCCAAGGCTGATTTTTCTTGATGACGAGGAACAATGGCAGGTGCTCGCACGCCGAAGACTTTGGTGGACTCGGACAAGCTTTGATATGACAATCAAAAGAGAGAAAACGTTGGCCGAATGCTTTGAGTGGGATGATCAGCAGGTCCACACCGGGATTATTTTGTCCAAACACGTGAGATGTTTCGTCCAAATGTTGTGAGTCTCTGAAACACCGGAGCGCCAGGTGCGTGTGGGCGATCCTGGGCAGGCGGTGGCCTTTGTGATGGATCCGGCCACAGGGCAGGTGAGCGCGCCACAGGGCAAATCGATTCGTTCCGAACAGCCAGCCAGCCTTGTTGGAAGAAAACCAGGTGCAAACCTGTGCCTCCTTTTGGTATATAGTATATATATTGAAATACATACACAAGTATTTATGTGTGTCTACACAGGAACTGTTTGTTAATCCAGCTGTTCTACATCTCTGTAGAGTAGTCTGGACAACGGCCACCACACCGACAGCCCTCACGAGGAGAAAGTCGTGTCATTCAACGGGCTGGTGGCGGATGACTTCAGACCTCCAGAGCTCTATGAAGAGAAGGAACGTCCATGTTTGGTCCGTGGCGAGTTGTTTTGGTGTGTCAGCTCCTGAGGGGCTGATGGTGTTACTAAGCTGTGCTAAGCCACTTGCCTTTGTCCGCATTGAAGTGGGTTGCCGGGATCAGCGATGCAAGACCAAACGATGACTCCATAGACAAGCAGATGAGATTTCGTGTGAGAAGGATTGAGAAGGTGCAAGGAGTGAGGTTTAGATTGCCACACCTGGTGCAAGGTGGTCTGTGTTTACTTTTTGTCCAGGACTACCTTGCGAGCAGAGTTGATTCCTGGTGCTTGGGGTGGAACACCTTTTACCTGCTCACGGCAGCACCTTGACCACATCAGTCACGGTACGGTTGAGGTGGATCTGTGATTCCAGGCTTTGGTATGCTTTGGCATAAGATAACGCTGATTCTCGTCTGAAGCAAAGATGAATTGAATAGACTGATTGCACTTGGCACCTGATTCGCAGCCGGGCAGCTGGGCTGAGCTAGTGCCCAGGCGCCCCTCTTCAAGACCTCCGCAGCGGCCTCGGAAGAAAGATCGTTGGAAAGTAGCGAAACTTTCAGAAGCGGTTTTGATATTTGGAACTTGTACGAAGAGGGCAGAATTTTCTTTGAGCCATCCTTCCTTGGCTAAGGATCCTGCCATGCAGGACACCGACTTCCTGCTGCTACTTGGCTCACAACACAGAGATGGGGACAGAGGGAGGTCTTCCAGCGGTTGAGAGATGTCACCAGATGTCCGAAGTCTTTACTTCTGCCATACGTGTCAACGCACCAGGTTGGTTGCCTCATTCCTTTGGTTCTTGCAAGTAGCCAGAGTCAGAGTATTTGCTGGACATCCTGTCTCATTGGGGAATCACATAGTTTGGTCATAGCTATGCTTTCTTTATCTTTATTTCTTTAATGCAGCAGTCAACAGTCTAACTTTCCAAACGATGCTCACAGACCAGCAGCGTTTCCAAACCTACAAACTCAACGCGAAGGTTTGACAGTGCCCCGAGACAAAGGCGTTTGTTCTGAAAAGTTTCATTCAATCTAAAATCACAAGAAGAAGAGATCAATGTCCCATTTCTTTTGCACACCTTTGACAGGTTAAGTCAAGGCAGAATATCGCAGCTCTTCGAGATGAAAGGAGTCAACTCGGCGGCAAATCAGAGATGGGCACACATCCCGAGAGTATTTGCACAGCCCATGGAAACAGCCTACTGGCTGAGGCTAAAAGTTTTGGAACAGGACACATATGCAGATGGAAGGGACAGGGCATGAATACCAGTATATACATGCATTTGATAGCACCACTGTATGCCTGGAAGTGCTATCATGGGACCAAGTGCATCCTCCTTTGCTGGATGGCAACTTGGATCCAAAGCCTCAGGTTTCGCACCGGCTCTCCTATGATGCCAAGGCAAGAGCTGCAGCAAGGGATTTCATTCCACCACGTTAGCTCGAGAGCTGGAATGACTGATTAGTAGACTGGATTGCGTGCTCCTGACTCTCAGAATGCCCCTCTCATTTTTATATGCGTGCCACCATTTTGTTCTGCACATCTTGAAATTGGTCCTCAGCTGTGTCAGCTTTGCCAGCAGCTATCACTGAACCGTCTTTTCATTTCTTTGTGCTCGACCTGCTGTGCAATGAAGCGAATAAGTCTGCTGTTGCTTGCCCTGAAGGATTTTGTGACACAGCTGATGCATCGGGAATCTGGGACTGAGCAAGCAGGTTTGCCTGACAACATGGACCAGTCATCTCCATGTTTGTCCAGTTGTCTCCAGTGCAAACGGCTGCAGACAAAAGTTATATTTAAGTTGCGTAATATGCGCAACCTCAACTAACCCACTCAAATCTCAAATCGCTGTCTGAGGATCCAGTGAAACGCATGCCAATCAAAGATGCGCTCTGGCATCCGTGGCTCAAGGTGGGATTGAAAGGGCTGAGCACTGTGATCTGGCGGGAATCCATCCGGATCAGAGATACCAGGCCTTACTCTATTTTTGCTCGTCTCACAAAAATTGTGCTTTCCAAGATCAAATTGTGCCTGTTCCAAGATAGATCCGTATCTGGAATCAACCGTTTGGAGAGAGTTGTTTGGGAATCTCAAATTCAGTACCTTTTTTGGCCAGTTTCAATTGAACTTCTGATTCCCCCAAGAAGCCTCATGGACGATGTGCAGGATTGTCTTGCGCAACAATTGCGCGGCGAAAGCACTTCGTCCTTGTCTCAGACAAGGGATCATTTACTGTATGTATGTATGTATGTATTTATTTATGTTCAATTGTACGCCCTGCACTTTGGATCCTTGTTCTCACGCAGCTTTTCATCATGACTCATTTGACCTCGCAAACATGGACTTTCAGGAAGTTACGGATGCCTCTTGTCCCAGAAGCCAGCAGCTCGACCGTGAGATTCTTAGATTGTCTTTTGGTGTGGAGGTGCGGGGCTCTGCTCATCTCTGACCAGCCGTCTCAGGAGCCTGTCTTCGACACTGCGCCTGTGCCGGTGAGTACTGTTTCTTGGCAATGGGCAATGGGTCATAGTGGATTTTCCAATGATATGAACAAGTTTGATACGGTGCTGATCCAATTGCCACGACTTGGAAAGTCAGACAGCTAGATGTGAAGTGATCAGGGTAAAGTCTTACGAATCTTTGGATGCTTCTCAGGAACTTCCAAGACCTTTCCAATAACCAATAAAGAGTGAGTTCTTACTCTCGATAGCTGCAATCTTTGTTATTGCTATTGTTTCGCTCTTGCCTTCCATTTTTCACTGAAAAAGTAAGTATATATTACACATGAATTGTATATTGTATATTGTATGTTATATATTAGGCTAGGCTGGTGTCAATGGGCGAACGAAGTGAGTCTAGGGGGTGTGGGGGGGCGGTTGCACTTAGGGTGGCTACTGACTAGGGGTGGTGGTTTGGGTAGAGCATTGACTCTTTAGACTAAGAGCCTATCATATCGACCCTCAATGCGAGACTTTGCGCCTCTCTGCCTCCTACTTCCCATGCCTGACAGCAGTAAAGTGCGCTGTCAACTTCACCCCACAGCCACATGTCTTCTTACGGAGGCTAGCTTTCCTCTCAGGTATAAATATATTATGCTTTCGTTTTTTGGGCTTTCAGTGATCACATTGGGAATGTCAAGTGTTCCGACGACTGCAGCAAAGCGCCTCAGCTCTGCAAGGCGTCAATGGCATAGCTTCCACGATCTGATAGTTTCAATACTGCGTTGAGAAAGTTCTAGTCCTTGACCCTTGTGGCCCTTGTGCATCTGAGTTGGACTCGGGCGCCAGTTCCAGCAGTGCCAACATTTCGCCGGCGCTGACCGAGCAACCTGGAGAGAGACCGTCAGCTTGTGAGACCCACCTCCAGATATAGTCGCCATGTCATCAAAGTATCATGTCATAGTCAGTCTCCTTGTCAAGTGGCTTCAAAGACATGATCCTCAACCTGGAAAGGCATGACCTGATGTATTCCAGTTTGGCGGAAGAGCCACAGAAGCTGCCCAGTCCGAAACCCAAACCTTTTCAGTGGTAGTGTGGTGGTCAACACGATTGTTTTCCAAGTTGATTTCTACAAAGTCTGTCCGTTCAAGAATATGTTTTCATGTTTCTCACGGTTTTTTCCCGAATGCGTAGCGAAGGGTTCTCGTTTAACTCTGGGGGTCTGGGGGTAGAGTCTTGTTCGCGATCCGTTGTTTCTATGTTCGCAACCGTCCGCAACCGTCCGCAACCGTCCGCAATCGTTCGCAACCGTTCGCAACCGTTCGCAACCGTTCGCAGTAGGACGC